CAGGCTGCTCTCCGCTCCTCTGTCATTTATCACGCAGCTGATTATACCTGCAGCGGACAGCACTGTCCACTCAGTGAGGCCCCCCCACCGGAGACACTATGGGAGAGGGGGGGGGGGGGGGGGTTTATTATCGGGGGGAGGGTTTATCAGATGAAGGCTGAATACGCTCATTGTTATGTATTTTTAATTATATTTATTAAGCACTGCTTCCATGGTCTCCTTTATAAAATTTATGGGGGGAGGGGGGAGAGAAAGCTAAAATTAAAAATATTAACAGATAAATACAACAGTTTTACCCATAAGTAGCCTGTGAGTAGCTTGTGAGTAACCTTGAGTCCTTCCCTCATTTCAGAAATGCCAAACGTCCAGCAGAGACTAACTTGATGGTCACTTGCTTGACACTCATTACATAGTTGGAAGGCAAAGTAATGAAAGACCGATGACATCGTAAGGTCCAGCAGCCTGATCACCCGGCTTTACCCCAGGAGAAAACCGGCAGCCCAGTGTCCACAGGGATAAATTCGGGGAGAAACCCAGTGTCCACAGCAGGGTTGGGGCCATTCCGGAATGCAGTGATCAATTCCAGTCCAAATCAGGAAATGGAACTGGAGCTGGGATTGGGGAAAAAAACTACTGGGAACAGAATTGGAGTTGAATTTGAATTTCAGGGAGATTTAAGTTCCAGCTCCAGTTCCATTTCCTGATTTGGACTGGAATTGATCACTGCATTCCGGAATGGCCCCAACCCTGGTCCACAGGGCATGGTTACCCTGGGAGAAACCCAGTGTCCACAGGGATAAATTCAGGGAGAAACTCAGTGCCACAGGGCCTAAATACCCAGTGAGAAACCAAGTGGTCACAGGGCCCAGTTACCCCAGGAGAAACCCCGTGGTCACAGGGATAAATTCGGGGAGAAACCCAGTGTCCACAGGGCCTGAATAGCCAGGGAGAAACCCAGTGGTCACAGGGCTTGGCTCTCCAGCAGATTGGACACGCACGCGCAAACCAAACAGGCAGGACAGGCGGTTAGAATATCAAGTTTATGATTCTACACTATATTCTGCAAAACTTAAAAAGGAGGCAAGTCAAAACCAAGTCAAACATTGTGTGCATTTAAAGACACACAGCTACAAAGTGCAGAATGTGCTAAACATGTACACACATTTTAGTACATTATTGAGAGAACAAGTCAGAAATCAACATTTGCATTTGATTGAAATCAATTATGGCCCATAATATGATAAACTGACTATTCGAACCTTGAAAAATTAAACACCGTATACCTCAGAACGGCTTTGGTAGTAATTACACGCTTTTGACCTGCCTGGAACTGTGCGTAGGCTTTCACTTAGGGTAGGCAATCTTACTTACGTAAGTTACTTACATAAGACAATTTAGCGACCATATAATCATCTAAATAAAGTAGCCAAATTTAAACTTTCCTCTGTTCCCTCAGTCAATCACTTCAGAAATTAATAGCGCAAAATCATAGGGTAAATTTAATGATTCGTTGAATGAGTGTTTCCAAAGGATATTTTCGTCCTCCTAAGTGCTTGCTAACTTTAAACTCGTTCAATAACTGCTTATTTTGGCGGTAACACCACGAGAGGACAGGGACGTCGCCGCGCAGTTAAAAATGATTTGAACCCCCCCTTGAATTTTTATTTTTTTTTTACTGATAGGGGACATAGCTCTCCTCAAAATCGGCTTCCGCACCTTGGCCAGCGAAATCTATGGAGGGGACCCCTGCCCCCCCCAAGAGGCACATGTCCATTCGCTTGGGGCGCCAGGCAGACCTGTCAGAGCTTATTCTAGTTAAAAGGACATTACAGCTTAAGGTTCCCGGATGGGATGCTGCCACTGGCTGATCTTACTATTTAATCCGGGAAAATAGAAAGAAATTAAAAATTCTAATTACGCTCAATGCAAATGAAAAGGCTGGCGTTAAATCTAATCCCTATTCTCACTTGAACCCGCAGCGAGAGACAGGACCCTAAGACGATTACAAACCCTGGATGATTACACTTGCAGTGACTACAGGACACTCCCCTGCGCACAGGAGCAGGGGGCGGAGATAACGGACTGTCACTCACCTGTCCCTGTGGCCGTCGGTGGCGTGGTACAGGTGGTTGGCCGCGCCGTCTGCACACGCCCTTATCACGGCTGAAAGGGGGCAAAGGGCGCACAGAGGGTTCGAGGGAAGGGCGTCAGGGAAAGGCGGTTTGCAATGACAGCATTACGGCCTTTAGTGCAGACCTGAAGCGGGTGACATCATGACGAGACTCTCTCTCTTGAGGAGAGTATACGTTTATAGCTTAAACAGTCTGAATGATTCCTTTAAAATCAGACAATGTGTCTAACTTGCAGCCTGCTGGAGATCAAGATTGAGCCTTAAGCAATAAACTGCCCAGTAAGGCAATTTCGCTTCGGTTGCAATGGACAGAATGTCCTGGAATTAAGCTTCACAGCTGGGATGTTTCGAGCAGATTTCAGGCAGATCATGATACTATTATGACTTCTTGATTCAGCCTTGATCTGGACGCCACCCTCCACGCTTTAAACATTTGGCTCAGGTCCTGTCGAAGCTTCAGGGGCCCCTCTGAGCGCTGCAGGGGCCCCGCTGAGCGCCGCATGCTCGTGTTCCGGCAGCGTTCAGCGTGATCGGTATCACACATGCTACACTCTCCCGGGTCCTCGAGCACTGAAAGGGACACGCCGGCCAGAGACGGGCCCCGCTCTCCCACAAGAGGGTCCTTAATGGGTAAAGGTCTGGGGGCCCATTTCATAAACCCATATTGGGGGCCCCGCGGTGACATCAGCACGTGGCCTGCGATTCAGCCACAGCTCATCAAGGACGCTGAAGCTGGAAAGTAACCCTGGTTTACCAGTCAGTGATTGGGGGGCAGGATGGTAGCGTGCGTCTGACCAGCACTGAAAGGGACCCAGGAGCTTCAGAAGTGCCGTGGTGGGGGGGGGGGGTCACGGCAGCAGGTCTCCATTCTGCAAGGTCACCGGCACAGATCGCGGCCCAAGACGAGGACATCAAAGCCGGCCAGGCCGCGCCTTCCCCTGTAGCCACGCTGCGCCCAGCCCAGGCTGCCCGTCACCCAGCCCACATCAGACGTCTCCTGATCAGTCCTGAAACTCCAGCCCCTTATGGGGGCTGAGCAGGAATCCAGTCTCCATACAGAACTTTGCAAGACCTGCAAGTTTTCCGCTGCAGTCGAAACTGATAAACACCACAAAATCGACACAGACGCCATAATTGAATCCGCAAACTGGGATTTCTGACAAACGCCCAGTGTCCCCCAGTTCGAATCGTCTGGCCACGCAGATAACCATTCCAGCTACTCTCCTTAAAAAAAACTCCACGTGCTTCTGCATTATCTACTCCTACCAAGTGTAGAGAGAACCAGAGGATTAATATGGATTAATATCGCGATCTGCCTGAATTGCGTTCCCAACATCCCATCCGTGATAATTAAATTCGGGCTCCTTTGTGCACTGCAACCTAAGCAAAATTGTGTCACAGGGCAATTTATGGCTTAAGGCTCAGCGCCGTCATTCCCAGTCTTGATCTCCAAAACGGTGATGCTGTTATTTCTGCCTCACGGCTCTGGACGTTTGACTGCGAACTTAACCACACTAATCGCCGTAAATCGTCAATCTGCTGTCCTTTGCTGAGAGAATTTAGGCTTGGTTGACTGGTGATCTTTAGCCATCGAAGACCTCATTATTAATGCTGTAAAGGGTCCGTGTTATACCTTTCCTCCAAAGTACGTGTAGATAGTCTGCATCCAGTGGCTGGTTAAGGATCAATAAGCAGATCTTCTGTTTTCCTGATGGGAGGAAAGCGGATGGTAGAGATTTTATAACTGCATTCGGTTTCAAACAACATACAAATACAGGAAATTAAGCACACGGCTGTTATAAATTGTCCATCATTAAACATTTAAACACCAGTATTACTATCCCTCACAGAGGCTCCTCTGAGAATGTGCTGTCTTAATTCACCAGAGTTAATTCTGCAGAGATATTTCTGCACAAATTAAGGGAATTATGTTTTTTTTAAGAGGCATGCAATGCCCCAAAACGGATGAGTTTTCCCTGAACTGACACTAAATCAATTGCACAATGAAGGGCCTGGAGACGCTGCAGCCCTGACAGGAATCACAGTACCTCTCCTGACAGGGCAATTTAATGCTTTTACCGCAAACACACATCTAGGTTATTGCCAGAGACAAAAAAAACCCATCTTATATAACAATTTCAAAGGAATAATCCACATTGCTGTTTGAAATCAGACAAGCACCAGGAACCCCCCCCCCCCTCCCAGCCGCTGACAGGCTCTGAATGGGGTCGCAGGTCGCATCACCAGGGGGCCAATAAAATTCCCGCCAAAAACCTGCTGCAATGCGTCCGCACGTAGCCGGCATTCCCGAGAGATGCCGATCCAGACTGACTGCCTTATAATTTATCTTAATCGAGACATAAAATAATAAATCAACCCCACTGCGATGTTCAAACAGTCAGTCTGGCTCCAGTGGTAACTTTCACGGCTGTTTGCATCATGCAAACTCACACGAGGGTTGTCTGATTAAAATTTGCTGATAATTGCTGCCACCTGTAATAATAAAATGAAGATTAACTAACAAAACTAAATAAACACAATAGCAGTTTGGGAATTGGGGCTAATTAGCCGGAAGGTCAGAGTAATCGTGACTTGACAGGGTTTGTTTGCTTTGATGAAACATAATGAGGAAAATCAAAGGATTTAAAAAAAAAATCAAGGGATAAGAAAGGAGAGCAGGCAACACCCCCCCCCCCAACCCAAGCGACACTTCCCTCCCTCCCTTCTTTCTCCATCTCTCCCTCCATTCCTCTCTTCTCCATCTAGATGACAATTCCATCCCTTCTTTCTCCATCTCTCCCTCCTTCCCCCTCTCCTCCACCTAAGCGACACTTCCCTGCCTCACTTCTTTCTCCATCCCTCCCTCCTTCCCCCTCTCCTCCACCTAAGCGACACTTCCCTCCCTCCTTTCTTTCTCCATCCCTCCCTCCTTCCCCCTCTCCTCCACCTAAGCGACACTTCCCTCCCTCCCTTCTTTCTCCATCCCTCCCTCCTTCCCCCTCTCCTCCACCTAAGCGACACTTCCCTCCCTCCTTT